GGCCCCCTTATTCACGTGCCATTCCCACACATCCAACACCCTCCCTCCCCCCCCCCCGATTCACTCCCTCGACCTCCTCATCGACCACCATCTACTTCCTAGTCCTCCCCATCAAGCTCCCTTCGCCCATCCCCCCGCGCCATGGATCTCGCTATGATGCTTAGCGGCGACAAGCGCGAGGATACTATCGCCCCCGCCCCGGTTTCCGAGGGCCCCGTCCCCAAGCGCGCGCGCGTCGAGCTGCGTCACTCCTCTCTCTCCCCCGACCGTCCACGCGTGCACGCCGACCCGCCACCCACGTCTGTCCAGCTCGACGCCCGGAAGACCCCACCTCCCGTCCCCGTCTCCTCTGCCCCGCGCCCCGACGGCCCCGCCGTTGGCCCTTACTTCGACCTGCAGCAGGCCGTCCACAACGCCCTGGAGGGTAAGACCGCCACGCTCACCACGTCTGACAAGGTCGCACTCGCGCTGGAAGTCCTTCGCGCGCGCCAGCTCGAGCTTGACTTGGCACAGGCCAGGAATAATATCGAGGCCCTGGTCACAAAGGCCTCTACGACGCCGCGCACCTTGCGCGCCGTCATTCCAGCCTCCACCGTCAAGGGCTTGCCGGTTGGATTTCCGATTGACATTTCCAACGGAAAGTTTTTGCTCTCGCCGACACATAACGATCCCCAGGCGCTTTTTTTGACCTTGGATTTGCAAAGCTTTGGGCCTCAGAAAGGTTACCCCCAGCAGGCCCCACAGGCCCCAAAGGTGGGAGGCGAGGACAAAGTTGCCAGTACAGCTGAGACGAGGCCGCTTGAAGGGGGAGTTGAAGTGGAGAAGAAAGATGTGATCGATGCAGCGCCCGAAGCGAAGAAGGCTGATAAGGACGCACAGGAAGAGCAGAAGCCATTGTAGCGAGCACCCAATGAACGAGATGCCGGTGGCAGTCGGTTGGCCGCCATGTACAGTGGCATGTACTTTTGCAAACTGCGAGAGCTCGTTGAAACATTCTGGACTTAATGACATACTGAGACTTGCGGCGTTAGTCTGTCACTCCGCCTAAGGTTTTCGATATTCGCTTGTATAATTAGAAGGACGCTTTCGCAATTTTCGCATGTGCACGCAAATTGGGAGCATGGTCGATTTCCCGAACAGGTTCAACTGGCATCCCCATACCCGAAGGGTAGGTCATCGCCTCCTTTACTTTTTGTTTTTCGTTACTTCTACATATACTGTACAGTAGTTATGGTGTTTCGGTGGCGCAATGCGACAGATAGACTGCCAGTTTGCGCCACCTCTTGGTTGTTGCCACCACGGGGAGCACGCGAGTCCCAACCGGGACGCGCTGCAGCTGCTCCTGTCACGACCACTACGTAATCTAGGACCTTTTTCATAAATATTAGCACATCTTTGCTCCACGTGACACTTTTAATCCAATCCTTCAGTGGCTACGGGACCAATATATATACATGGCGACACGAGGAGGTATACTCATCCAAATTGGACTTCTGAGAATTATCTCACCAACTCAAGGTTCGTATTAAGATCTTCAAATCAACGCCAGAGCTAGAAACCGCGCCAGCACTTCCCATATGCTGGTTCGCTCTGGACTTTAACAAAACAACACCAGATGCTCATGCCCTTTCTCCAGTTGTTAAGGGCAAAATCATTAAACTTCAAGCTCGTTCCTGATAATATGAGTCTTAATCTTTTCCGGAAACTTGTCTCCACAATCTGTATCCCACTCAAACTCGTCTTTGTACGGCAGAAGTTTCTCATATTCTTCTTCTCGGAACCGGATTCTGTTGTAACAATCGGAATAGTCACGAGATCGATGATGAACAAAAACGCTTGGCAGGTATCCAACCTTCACGCCCGCGTCCTTAGCGTCTAGGAAAAATGTCATATGTTCATTCACTTTGAGCTGATTCCGCCATGGATGCTTCCGGAGAACTTCTGTGCGTCCCATAAATGCGTTGTGAAGTACATCAACTGGTATTGGATGCGTGATACCATATATGCTCGGACCGTTGTTTTCATTCCAAACACAAAGAGTCAAAATGCGCTCTTCCAAACTCTGTACTTTGGCGACATATCGCGGAATCAGAATGCGCGATCTCTCGTACTCATCTATGCCCGGCAGATTCCGCACTCGAAGCCCAACCATATCAAAGTGATCATTCTTAATTCCTTCGAATAAGACGGTGAGATTCGTTGTTACATCCAAGAGATGATCGTCATCAAGGAGAAGGAAATAGCGCGTTCGGGTTAAGTTAACCATGACATTCCGTCCGAAGGAGATACCTGAATTCTTCGGGAGTTCGACTTCCTCAGTGTACGGATCATCATGGACGAAGTTATATGAACCAACCAATTTAGGCCCATCATTCCCGAGAAGAATTCGCGTTCGAGGGCTGTGCGTGCGAATGGAACGTACAAGAGCCGCTACCTGGAACGCGATAGAGTTATCACATATATACGTCTTGATTCCGATGGTAACAGAGTTTTCCAAAGAGCGTTCGGCCCCATTCATATTCCACGTGCCATGGTAGCGTTCCGCCTGGGCAGTCATAATGACTTCATCTTTCAGTGAAATCGATATTGGTTCGCTCACAAAAGTGCTCAAGGGAGTATTTCGCACTTGCCCTTCTCGCAATGAGCGCGCACGTTCAACGTTGTCAATCACGCATGATGCGAAGTTTTTTGTGGTGTACTTGTTCCATACCATATCACGTCCGTTGCTGGCTATTTTTTCAAACA